ATATAGAAAAAATTAGCCAGGCATGGTGACGCGTGCCTGTAGTCCCAGCTACTCGGGAGGCTGAGGCAGGAGGATCACTTGAGCCTAGGAGTCGGAGGTTGCTGTGCGCGAGGCTGACGCCACGGCACTCTAGCCCGGGTGACAGAGCGAGACTCTGTCCCAAAAAATAAAATAAAATAAAATGTCATCTACTGAGAGCTCAATCAACTCCATCTGTAGTTCTTTGGGGGCCTTGATGACACCATTCAGGTGAGGCTGAAATGCTAATTCGAATGTGATGTCGTGATTTCTCAAAGTCACTGAACCTTTCACTGTTTTCTCCAATCCGTCTCCAATGGTCTGGCTCGATTCCTAGTTCCCCTGTGCAGCATCTCGCCCCTAGCGCCCTAGAATATAACGTCAGAGGACGATGTGTCCCAACACGGTGGCCAGTGCAGGGTACCCAGCAGGCGCTTAATAAGAGCTTGTTGCAATGAATGCATTGATGCATGGGTGCATGGAGAGATGGAGGGAAGCATCCCCCGATCTTGGGCTCCTGGAGGCTTCAGGCGGGAGGAGCCGGGTGGCAGAGCAGCCTCGCAGTGGGTGACCTCGGTCAAGTCCCACCCCGAGGCGCCCGCGGGCCCAGCGAGGGAGGAAGCTTCGGGGCGGAACGGCTGCGCCCCGAGCGCCGGTTGCTCGGGGGGGGGGCACATTAACGGGCCGGACCGTGGCGGCCGCCCGGGGAGCTTTGAGGCCGGAACGGCTGCGCATGGAGCGCCGGTTGCTGGGGGGGGCAGGTTAAGGGGCCGGACCGCGGCGGCCGCCCGGGGAGCTTCGGGGCCGGAACGGCTGCGCCCGGAGCGCCGGTTGCGGGGGGGGCAGCTCAACGGGCCGGACCGCGGCGGCCGCCCGAGGAGCTTCGGGGCCGGAACGGCTGTGCCCCGAGCGCCGGTTGCGGGGGGGGCAGGTTAAGGGGCCGGACCGCGGCGGCCGCCCGGGGCGCTGACGGCGCGGACCCGCGGGTGTCCGAAGCGGCGGCATGGCGGGGCGGCGGGTGAACGTGAACGTGGGCGTGCTGGGCCACATCGACAGCGGCAAGACGGCGCTGGCGCGCGCGCTGAGCACCACGGCCTCCACCGCCGCCTTCGACAAGCAGCCGCAGAGCCGGGAGCGCGGCATCACGCTCGACCTGGGCTTCTCCTGCTTCTGCGTGCCGCTGCCCGCGCGCCTGCGGTCGGCCCTGCCCGCGCCCGACGCGGCGGCCGAGCCCGGGGAGCCGCTGCTGCAGGTCACGCTGGTCGACTGTCCCGGGCACGCCTCCCTCATCCGGACCATCATCGGCGGTGAGCGCGCGCGGGGCGGGCGCCGGGCCGGGACGTGGGCGGAGCTGCGGGGTCCCGCGGCCCCAACTCGCTGGAGCAGCCGCCGGGGACGGGAGGTCGCCCC